TGTGTGTGTGCGTGCATGCGTGCGTGCGTGCGTGTATGTGTGTGTAGACAGACTGTAGACTCCTCAGAATTTAATGCTGCACATTGTCTAGAGGCAGGTTACCACCAGTGTAATTATCTAATATGTTGAAGTCTGTGTCTGTCTTTGTTTTTGCGTGCTGCAACAGACAAGTAAATGAGAGGTCCAGCTGTCTAATTACTAGGTGCAAACTTTTGAGGTCAACTTCTTCACTGCACATGACACTGATATTTACAAAGTAGCCCTTGTCTGTGGCTGACCTGAGTATAGTGTTATGTAAGGCTTTTTTCAGGCTACACACAAACAGTATGTAAGGAAAGCAGCAGTTAACAGAAAGCTTTCACGCTGTCCCAAAATTAAATGATCTGTATTCAGTCCATTACTTGCTCTATTGTTACACACTACCAATGAGAAGTTAGGTTAGGATTTATTCTTTAAGATTAATAATTTTATTCAGCAAGGACTTGGTTACAAAAGATTTCTACTTCAAATAAATGCTGTTATTTCGAACTTTCTATTCATCAAAGAATTTTGAAAAAAAAATATTGTATTTTTTCATTAAACAAATGCAGCCTTGGTGAGCATAAGAGGCTTTCAAAAACATTAAAGGGATAGTTCACCGAAAATGTAAAATTCTGTCATTAATTACTCATCATGTCGTTCCAAACTCGTAAGACCTTCGTTCATCTTCGGAACACAAATTAAGATATTTCTGATGAAATCGGAGAGCTCTCAGGCCCTGCATAGACGGTAGCGCAACTGTAATGTTCCCAGGTCCAGAAACGTAGTAAGGGCATCGGTAAAACAGTCCATGTGACATCAGTGGTGTAACTTCAATTTTGTGAAGCTACGAGAATACGTTTTGTGCGGAAAGAAAACAAAAACAACATAATTTATTCAGCAATTCTTCTCCCCCGAGTTACGTCTTCTGCCATTTTGGAGCGTTCCCTATAAGTACATAATTTGCGTAATCAACGTTGTTTACACTTAGGGGAAAGCGTGCGTATGAGTTGTGATACTCCCTAAAATGGCAGAAGACGTAACTCGGGGGAGAAGAATTGTTGAATAAAGTCATTATTTTTGTTTTCTTTGTGCATAAAAAGTATT